TACAGAACTGAAAAGAGGAAGAAATTAAATGCACCAGTAAAGAAACAGGGAACACCTGCCTAGACCTCAGCACGGAGGAAACGGATTGAGGAGTTACAGGACCATGAACTGAATATGAATTGCCATTGTGAAGGTATTGCATTAAAAGGCAAATTTCCTTCTTGGTTCTATTACTAGGGCACACTGCCTATAAGACAAAGGGGGTGTCATGATCCAGATATTAAAATTATTAGAAATGCCTCTGCCCAAATTAAGGTGCAAACAAGACCATATGCCAAAGTCAATAGTATGGATTTTATTTAACAGTAAATGTGAGGCAGAGAGAGAGACAGAAAGAAATAGGGAAAAAAAAGGGGGGGAGGAGGGAGGAAAGAAAGAGAGTGATAGAGAGAGGTAAATAGAAAATGCATCACCACTCTGTGGAACCCAGCAATGTCTCACCGGTTCAGTTCTTCTCATCTTCTTGCTGCTGAGGGTCCCACAAAACACAGAGTTCAGTGGATCAATATACACTTAGGAGATATCCAGGCACCTCCCCTGGGGAAGTTTTAGTCTCTTGAGACAGACTCCGGATTTGTTGCATCACTTGGATCACAGTGCAGTCCTTTGGTGGTAGAAGGCCTCAGGAATGAGTCTGGGCAGCACTTTGAGGGTCTTTGATGGTTTGTGACCCATTCTCAGCTGCCTCTCACGTGAAAGCCCTGTGTGTATGTGGCCTTCCTGGAGGAAGGGGGTTACTCCTGTTTTGTGTGGAGAGATTTCCTTATCACACACCCAAAACCCTTCTCCTCCTCCACCCGTTCAGCCTTGTTTACTTTTTCTTAGACCTGAAATAATTGGACAACAATCTTATCTCAAGTTCCCATCACAGTTCAAATTACAGTCAGGAAGCATATTGGGGGGGGCGGAGCTGAGAGGGGCGTGTGCTTCGGTGGTCACAGACAGGTGGTCACAGACAGGTGGTCACAGACAGGTGGTCACAGTTGTTTCCTTGCAGATTGACAAAAAGTCTTTCTATGATTTTGGCAATGTTTAAGACAAGAACATTTTTGTCTCTCATAGGGGGTATTTTTTTTTTTTGTTTCTCAATACCCCCAAGTTAAAGGGGATTAGTCTAGAAAGGTAACAAAGGGTATATAAGAGGTGCAAAATGCATAGGGTTGAAAAGAGATGATTTAGCCTAGTAGGAAAAAAACAGAAGAGGGAATATGATAATGACCCTCCAATATATCAGACTGTTAGAAAATGCTGCTCAATTGCTCCCCATGTGTGCTGAGAGTAGGTCAAGATGCAACAAGCTCAGTTTGGTTACAAAAAGGAGGGAAACCTTCCCAACATCAGTCAGTGAGCAGTGTAGCAGGTACTGAGGAGGTGGCAGCATCCCTCGCACACGTTAAGCACAGATAAGGCAAACATCTGCTTGGGTGGCATCAGGGTACCTGATCCTCCCTCTAGGCACATAGGTGGATGTCCTCTGAATTTTCCTCTCAGACTGACACTTGTGTATTTTTAGTTTCTAACATCACTTCGTCACTCATTTTGGCTGCAGGGATGTGATCCCCAATGCAAGGACAGCCTAAACAGAGATCTGAGCAATCTTACCAGGACCTTAATCCAGTCTCATTACTGGATATGTTATTTGGTGGTCACCTGTATGTCATCACATCCTACACCTTCCTCTTAAAGGCTTTCTGTTAGACTGTCCCATTCAAGAGATTACCAAAAACTATTCCACTCTTTTCCTCTTACCCCTCTGGCAGGAGGTGTGTTCCATAATATGATTGCGCTCACAGCTAGAAACTTCTGATTTCCAGCTTAGGTATGTGTATGGTCAGTCAGCAGCCATCAAGACAGCTTGATATGGAGTAGTTCAAATCCATACTCATGTCTGTGGTTATTTTAAAATACAGAAGCTGATGAAAAATTTCCATCTCTTTTCCTCAGGTTTCAAGAAGGAAAATATTGTAAATTTGCTGAGGAAAAAAGAACAGTTGTTCTTTCTTGCATTAGCATGTAGATGACCTGAATGACATTACAAATGAAATGAAGATATAACACAGGGAAGGATGAAGAGAAGGTGTCAGCTGAGGGCAGAACCAGGAGACCCAAGACCACATAACAGGCATAATGAGGTTATCAGCTTGATGGATTTAGGAGTGCCAGGAGGAATAACATGAGAATTGAAAATTGCTGCTTGCAGCAGTGGGAATGGTGGCTTCTTGGTAAGGGAGGAACCAGTTCCCCTTTTCTGTCTTCCCAAAAGATGTGACAACAAAGGTCACAGTCGTCTGCCTGGAAAATGGTATATGTTTGTCTCTGTGGAGAAGTGCATATGTGAGAATTGACAGCCTTGCCCCGAATCAATACTCACCTTTGTAAAGGAGAAAACGCTTTCTGCTGAACTGATGGCTATTTCAGCCCATTGCAAACCATAACAGATGGGTTTCTTCAAACCTTTATGCATTTTTAGATTGTATTTACACTCACTAAGCAAGTCCCCTGTCTAGGAGGGGAAAAAATAACATTCTCACTCTTTCTTATTTTGTCCCTGCCCCTGATGCTGTGCTTTCCCGGAGCTGCTGGCTGGGTCCTCCTCAGCTTCTTTACTGCCTTCTGACTGAGCTGCTTCTGCCTGGAAAGCAGTTATCTGTGTCTCACCTTGGAGGTGGGAGTTCTGGCTCTTTTAGGTTCAGCAGTATAAGCTCTGTAACATGGAGTCAAGTACCAGACTGGGAAGCAGAAAAGAGTACAGCTGTCCCTCATTTTCTCCAGACATAAGATGAGATTGATGCTGTTAACAACACATACCACCTCACACAGTAAAAATGTAGGGGGCTGGTGTTTGAAAGAAAAAGGAAACCCACTAATTAGGAATCAGTATTATCACTCTTTCTGTGACAGGCATCTGCACTCCTGCCATCCTAGCAAAATTTCAGTCAGCAGAGGCTACTTAGTCAAAATGAAAATTCAGTCTGTGTGTCTTAATATATGCTGCTGCTGCCCAGCCTTCTATTTTTTGGTCAGCAAATAGATCTGCTGTTCTTTGTCATGTAGCAGTCATGTCCTACCCTGAAGACAGAGGCATTTCAGTAGTTCTTTGCTGGGGTTTTTTTTGTGGTTTTTTTTTGTTTTTTTTTTTTTTTTTTTTTTTTTTTTTTTTTTTTTTGGTTGCTTGGGATTTTTTTTAAATACCAGATAGCAGTGTTTCATAAAAAGCTTTCTTGGGACAGAACAAGAGCTTCCATGCATATATAACATCATGATTAGCATTTTGCAATGAACTGGCTAGCATGCACAAAGTGCTGTCTGCTGGTAGATCACATAACCTGCTTTTCCTCAGCT